GTCTTGGCTAGAGAATATTGCGAGAAATTTATTGTGGTGGAGAAACCGGCCGTCTGCCATGATAGCTGCCACCGGCACCAGTGATATAGACCCTGACGACCAGCAAGTCCATAATCATAGTACCTTATGACAGTGCACTTCCTCATGTAACTTTTGATGCAGCCTACCCGACCTTACGGGATTGGTATCCAAACAGTCGCCTCATCCGATAGCGCACGGTAGTTTCGGGGACGTGTGGAAATGCACCTACAACGCACCAAACCGTCAAGGCCAGGAGGCAAGCATACTTCACGTATGGCTGTCCAGCAATCTGAATCCATGACAGGTAGCAGTCAAATCCATAAGGATCGATATCGCAGGTGACGATTCCAGAACCAGATTTACTCAAGTACGTTATCGGCTTCCCCTTTGTATGTGATACGCTTGCCCGAACCTTATGGTTTCAGAGACTCTTGGGCGATTTCCATGCACGGAAGCAACTGCATCACGAAAATCTTTTGCCTCTGCTCGGTTTCAGTCATGAATTTGGGCCACTTCCAGCGATGGTTACCCCCTGGAAACACAACGGCTCGCTCACAACATATCTTGAACACCATTTCATAGAATTGACCATTGAACAAAAGCTTCGGATTGTGAGTTGTCTCTCAGAAGTGCTCATACATCATGGTATTCATTGGAACTTTAGTTGCGGCAAGTCGCTGCAGCCATCAGCTACCGTGCGTGGAATCTTTAATAGTTTGTGAAAATAATAGTTGACAGTATTGCAGTCCACTCGAAGGGCGTGGTACATGGTGACCTTACTGCCGTACGTACTGGTTGTCTGATGGGCCCGCTGTCTAGCTCTGATCTGGAACACCAGAACAACATTCTGATAGACTCGGACCGCAATGCCTACGTAGCAGACCACGGAATTCTCACAATGTGTTCTGAGCTCTCAGGGACTTCATACATCAGAAGCAACGTGCGGTGGGCTGCGCCAGAGCTCTTCGAGGTACCCGAGAACGAAGAGTCATTAGCTCCACAGCCAGCTAGCGATATTTATTCCTTCGGATGCATCATACTTCAGGTTCGAGAGAGACTGCTTTCCCTTGTAATTGTGGTCGTTCGTTACTGAGATGACGCCGTAGGTCATGACAGGTCGACCACCCTATGCAGATGTGCGAAGCGATCATCAAGTCATTGTCCTGATACTGAAGGGTAAGAAGCCTACAAGACCAACAAGTCCGCACGATGCAGATTCTTTCTGGGATTTCATCGAGAAATGTTGGGGTGATATAGGACGTCGCCCATCTGCCGTTGATGTTCTGAACTTTCTAGGATCAGATCATGTCACTGCGCTAGTCAAACATACAGAAAGCTGATCGATCATTGATTTTATTTGTTTATATGTATATATTTTATATGACATACTGTAACATAATCATTCCTATTATGTAAGCCCGAATTTTTTGTACCACAGGAAGTCGCTTCTACTTACCGCATATCAGACTTTTCGTTGTCATATCCACTCAGCATTCGCGCTCGACGCTGACCCAGTGAGCAGTTTTTTTATACAAAAAAGTCATATTTATTGTCCTTTGGGGTCGAAGGTCGAAGATCCTATGTCTGACATAGCCGCGGCCCTATTCGCGGAGGATTTACATCTATCGTGAGTGTGTACCATGTACGGTAGTGACTACACACTGGCACACGCTCAGTGCAATATAGATAAGTAAACGCCTACTCCATCAGAACCAGGTGCGTAGAGAGATCGCGCCTCGTTTTTTCCAGTGTCGCGTTGTGGGTGGTCCTGGTTCCTAGGTTCAGTTTGTACGGACGAGCGTTGGTGAGCATGAGTAGGTTTATTTGCTAATGTTGATTTTGTTTGACTAGTTGCCCGAAAGCTGTACCACGAGGAGGAAGACAGGCAAACGTTCCTTCAGGCACCTCTTTCCAACAGTGAATCTTGTGCGTCAGTTCGTTGCGTGGTACTATTGGCAACTAGTGCCCGGAAATGATCTTGAAACTTCCCTTAGAGCGGCAATCCTGAAGGTACGTACAAATTTATTGGTTGACATGCTGCAAACGTTCAATCGAGGTCTGTGTGCGAGGCTTCGGGGGTTTTTCTGGCTGTGCAGGTGACCCGTGCCAGTCATAGTTGAAAATCGGTGTCTATACGATAGTCACAAGATGCGCGGTCTCGTCGTGCAAACCCTAAAGCTCTAGCTGCAAATATTGATGATTTGAACGTAGGAAAGTATTCATAATTGATCGAGGCGGAGGGCTGACCTGCTCACAGGTTCGGTGGCAGACACCTGAGAATCAATGCTGGATGATCGAATTAAAGAAGATTCTGAACTACGAAACCTTTCCCTCCTCTGTCATGACATCAAGACAATTCTACAGGTTGTGATACGGTTGTGAACTTTGCCTAAGCTAGGCCACCTTGCATCCGCATCTGTTCCGTGTCTTGCGGAATGAATCACATTGCATGAAATCCTCACGATCAAAGAGCGATTTCAATGTGGCCCAATTGCCAATTTCGTTGGTGAGCGCTTGAACGATGGCACATGCGGTTGCGGCGTGTTTTCATCTTAGAACTTATCACAATTGAGCAAATTTCTTTCAGATCCTGTGCGAGCGCTAAAGACGTCCTGCGCGCCTTATTAATATATCAATAAATGGATCGAAAATTATCGGTGCAGGCAAAATGGGACGGGTCAATTTAGTGCAGTCAGTCATCAGTTGCGTTTCTCAGTGAAGACTGACTCGGAGAAGACTGATACATACAAGCCATCAATTCCTTCGATTTGGCTAAAGCCTTCAAGAATCTAAATCGACTTTGAATGAATGACTGACTCATGTTAAGAACGTTTTATAGCTGGCAAAGTTGGACTACCATGACGTCTTTCTCAAAGTTCTATTATGAGCGCTTTGCCCTTGTGCTAACAAAGCCGCTGAGAGTAATATTGCCTCGCGCAATTACTTCTCTTTTCAGTGCTGCCAGTGCCCTCCACGTCCCTGACGCCTACTGACATGGGCGTCTGTAGTGAAGCGGCGGCGTTTATAGTCGATCTAATTCATCCACAGCATTGCTTCGACCAATACCGTTGTGGTGTCCTCGGTGTGATCCTACGCAGTCTCTTTCTACCGTGACTATCGGTGGGATCACTTTGCGACATGGTCGCAATAGTGATTTCTGCATATAAGACTGTAGTCCATCGGTGCTATGGAACAGTACTATCTCCCGCTGTGATTTGCTACTGACATGTTCGACCGCTTACAACATTTCCTTCATGGTCTTGTATGTTTGTTCACATTGTCTGTGGAGCCATCCATTCATCTTTCACTCTAACAGGTTGGCCATGTTGCATCAAGTGACAAAGCATCTTCTATCCAGCCTTTCGTTGACGGTATTCACACAAGCCAGACCCCGATTGTCGACACTCCGAGTCCCAGTAGAACTTCCGATGATCATGTTTCCAACGGGCGCCTCTCTACTTCTGATATAGAGGACTCGTACGTCATTTCTTTTTCCCTCAGCGAGACTTTTGTAAACATGAAGCAGTAGTAGTATTCTCTGTATCAAACCAAGTGATATCCACAGGCAAACCAGTTACCCGACCGCTACGGGTGGTCTTGGAGATGTTTACAAATGTACATGGAACCACGGTGTAAATTTGGATGAGGTATTTCATAGACTTGCTTTTTCGGCATGTCCTGATTGTAACTTCAGGTGGCGGTTAAATACCCACGATTTCAAAGTCTGAGTGATCCTGAAATTGTCAAAGTCAACAAGGTATAGTGGGGTCCAGTCTGTTGACCGCACGTCTGAACTTTTGAAACGCAGAACCTTGACCGCGAGATCCGTATTTGGGCCGCGATGAAGCATCAATATGTATTGCCCTTGCATGGCACTGTAGTCGAGGAATTCGGCCCATTTCGCGCGTTGGTTTCCCCCTGGATGCCGAATGGGACTTTGAACTCTTACCTTGATCGTGCACATAAGACCCTCTCGATGACGGATAGACTTCAGCTGGTGAGTTTCATTCTCGAAGCCGAATACGAGAACTTACTATGTTTTCAAATAGCTCAAACAAATTACCGAGGGGCTCAAGTATCGTGAGTGATGGATTGACTATGAATGTGACAAATATAACTTTGTTTTCTGCAGTTCACGACCACGACGTGATACACGGTGACCTTACCGACGTAAGTCTACGCATTCCGTGCAACCGAAATGACCTTGTGATAATTGCAGGGTAATGTTCTGGTTGCTGCCGATGGATCCCCTCGTCTTGCAGATTTCGGTATCTCCAATATCATGGTACAATCTAATCCTACTTTTTCCTACCATACCGGTTCAGTACGCTGGGTCGCCCCAGAGCTCCTTGACCCCCCAGAAGATCAACCCATACAATGCGCAACGAAATCTTCCGATATATACGCTCTCGGCTCTATCATGCTTCAGGTTCGTAGTCTCGCATTGGCTGGCTAGTTGCACTAACGTTTCCTGCGTGCAGGTCCTATATGGGAAACAGCCTTATTGGTGGTTGAAGTCTGCCATACATGTTATTTCTGTCAAGTTCAAACGCACAGAACCCATCGACTCCTCCATCGAGATCCGGCCTGATCACCTGAATTTCATGCGGCGGTGCTGGTCGACGGAGAGCAAGCTTCGTCCGTCAGTAGAAGAGGTAATAAACTACCTCCAAGAAGCCATGTCGAATGAGAATTCGTCTTTATAAGATCTCGGTTTGATGCAATCCTTTTGTCTTCATATTCATTTCGGGTGTCTTATTATCTTATTATATATCATAATGCTCCATGTCTTCTCGGTGTTGTATGTTACACTAGCTGTATTCGTATTATTGCAATTTTCAATTATAATGACATTCTTCGAACGTGTGAAAAAAGAATTGGCACAGCGGCGGTCACTCTGTCCATCGTGTACTACGCGACGGCGTACTTGCAACTTCTACGTGTAGCCTCTCATCTTATCAACTGTCATGGGCAACAGACGGATCAGTAATGACCTCAAAGATGCTGCATTACGCATGGTGAACAAAGGCTATGCAACCACAGAAATCCTCTCCATTACACAATTCTCAAAGTCAACTTTCTACCGCACTCAACGTCGTAAACGAGCCACTGGCAGTGTAGCTAAAATCCAGGCAATTGGAAGGGGCAGGCCTCGGGCTTTCAGCCAGCATGATATCAATTTTCTCATTCGGCTTGCTCGTCACAACCCCACCTTATTCCTCGATGAATACCAAATGAGACTTCGAGATGGCCGGTTTCTACTCGCATCACTATCTACCATTCACCGGTCTTTCGAGCGTGCTGGCATCAATGTCAAGCATATCGAGAAGACTGCAGCTGAACGTGACCCTCTATGTCGTGCAGACTTTGTTCATCGTGTCTCGCAGTACTCACCTGCCTCTTTACTCTGTTTGGACGAAGTTTCGAAAGATGATTGTACATACTCACATCGCTGGGGACGTGCCGCACAAGGTGCACACGCTGAGCAACATCAACCATTTGTTCATAAACGTCGATTTTCAATGGTGGCAGGACTGGCTCTTGACGAGGGCATTGTTGCTGCAAAAGTTGTTGAAGGATCGTTCAATCGCGAGAGTTTTATTGATTTTTTGTGCAATGATGTGGTTAGTTTTCATACTGCAATTGTGACGTGTCGATAACTTGCTCTGGTTAGCTTCCTATCACGACACCATTTCCAGGGCCACGGAGTGTGCTGATTATGGACAATGCTCGCATTCACCATGCAGAGGAAATTGAGGAGCTTGTTGATGCTTATGGTCAGTATAATGAAGTTCATGGCACACAATTCAAATTGTCCGAGTCTCACTATGTCGTTAGGGTGCTGCATTGAATACTTACCACCATACTCCCCGGATTTCAACCCTATTGAGCAAGCATTCTCAGTGATCAAGTCACATCTCCGTCGCCAAGGGTTAGGCTTCTACGGGCCTAAGGCTCCTTACTACGAGCTATATACAGCATGTTCTGTTGTAACACCAGCTATGTCTTGGGGTTTCTTTTGTCACTCAGGTTATCTTACTTGACTCGGAGCATACTTGCAGCATTGATACAATACAGTAGCATGACATTACAGATAACAATGTGTCCATGAGCACTTGTGGCTGCAAAATATGCATGAGGAGCAATACAAACTAAGTTTCAAGCATCCACCGTTCCTCCGCATCACGAATATCTGTGAGCTCGCCAAGAGATAGTCCAGCACCAAGTAGGTCAGCATTCTGAAGGAACCGAAGGCAGTGTGGGCCAGTCACATCAATCTCGTCCAACTTCTCACATAGCCATTGCGAAAGGTCGAATCGGTTGCAAAAATCGAGTAAACTCAATTTCGGTCGAAGGGCAGCAGGTTGTTGACAGAGAACAGGCTGTGGAGCATTCTTGATAGCAGGATCAGGTCCACGGTCACCATTCAGGAGGCCAACAATATCCTTGAAGTCGTTATTGATGACAATACTTGGTGCGGAGGATTGAGTCTGTGTAACTGCATTGAGATGTTGTTGTGAGAGCATTGCGATGTCAGTTGGATCTGTGTATGTAACGTCGAAAATCTTTGTGTTTGGTGGATTGTCTAAATCAACACCTGGCTGCTTGTTCGGACCAACCTATCCCACAATAATGCCTATTATCAGTAATGTGCAAAGACGATATACTTTGGAACATCATGCGGACCATTGCAGCAGCCCATGTGTTGAGATGTAATGGTGTCAAGTTGATGTGCTTGGCCTCTGGCGGAGCTGGCCAGCAGATACAAAAACTACATGCTCGGTCTTCACATGTGTACTGGCGAGTCAAGTTTGCAATTGCTTCATTTTGCTCCATCTCTTCGTCAGTTGGACCTGTAGCAGCCTTCATGACATGAGTGACGAGAGGACAATCGAAAGACATAGTACTGCCTCACTCTCTTTCCTGCAGGTTCATCTGAGTCAGCTTCTTCATCCTCAGCTTCTTCGCCGTTGTCATACTAGCATACATTCAGCCAATCACAGTACATAGTACTAGAACAACTTGAAACACTGCAAATACATACCTTTGTCTCGACAATAGTCAATTTGAAGGCTGGTGACCGGTACTCTTTGACTTCTTCCATGATCGTAGTGAAATCACTAAGGTTTCCGAGAACGATATTCTTATAGTTCGTGCGAAGGATTGTATAGGTGATGGTGAAGTTCGTAGGAGCGAGAAGACCCGATCGATTGCCAATACCATACATCATTTTGTCGGAGATATCATACTGCTCGAATGTTGTATCAAGAAGGTTTCGAAGGGTGGAATCTTCGTGGATGAAGAAAGCACGGTTTATGGGCTGTGATTTAGCATTTTTCCGACGTTTTTCTCCAGTTGCTGGAGGTGGTAGAAGCGGGGTAAATGTCACAGAGACTGTGATGCCCTTGCCGTTGTTGTACATGCTCTCGCCAGAAGGTTCTACATAAACATAAGGTCAGAAGCCTTTACTATGAATAAGACGTACCATTTTCTGCATCCAAATCATCATCGTGGACTCTAGTATTGTCATAAACATCATTGCCGTTGTCAGATTCAAGCTGGCTCATGGTGGTAGTTATGCAATGCGCATATACTCAGGGATTTTGATGTCGTTGATGCGCGTGGCGGCGTGATGCGGATCTGAGCACTCAGCGCTCAGCGCTCAGCCACGGCCCACAACAGAGACACACTCGTTTTTATTTTTATTTGGAAGTATCATTGTATTTGTAAATTGCAATAATATATAATAATATATTCGTTCATGGAACATCCCCATCAGGTGACTAACATTGTGATAGGTTTCATTCAGCTAATTCGATGATATCAGGGTATAAGTTACGATACTAGCCTCGTTGTTCTGTATGTAACTGATTCAACTGAAACTTTGGCTGCAGCTAAACGCCTACGATAACACGTTGCTGTGCTAGTTCTCGAGCGTTCATCCATGTTTCATCACATCTGTCAAAGTTTGGTATGTGCTCAAAAGCCGCCCTCACTGGTGTAACCTTTTTGGCTCATCAACTCGGACAGGTATGTCATCAGATGATCTAGTATCAATCCCAGTGAAAATCGGATGGACGCCCTCTCACGCAGATTGACAGAAATCGATGGAATTTGAGATTTTTGGCGTCAGACGTCCGTAAATAAACGCTGAAAATTTCAGCGCTCGGTACCGAGTCTCCGACCATGCACGGAACTTTAGTAAGTGCAGGCGCTTTCCGGTATGTAATATTCTTTATCGAACATCGATGACTTGAGTTATACTCGTTTGGGAGATGTGTTTATCATCTATCTGTTATCTTATGCGTCTTTTATGGGGAATGCTCCTGTATTTATACCCCAGTTGCATTTGCCATTCGACGTATCACTTGGACCCACACTCTCATCCAAGACGAATAAAGATGCTACCACCCAACATCATTTTGAAAACTCCGCTCATAGAGATCCCAAGTGGAGAACTCAGGAAAACTAAGGAGATTCCTAATTACGCCGGTGGCTTTGGTGACATCTGGGAATGCATCTGGTCCACCCCTTCTAGTAATTCCCCTGTCATAGTGAGCCCAGCTCCAATCACGCGGCATGCATGCACATTGATTTGTTTGAAATTTCTAGGTCGCAATCAAGGTAGTGAGGGTCACTGACACCAGTCAAACGGTACCGTTGGAAAAGGCCGCATGGGTAAGGTCTCACATTAGAGCATATAAGCATCACTTCTATATTTTTGGTTGACAGAATATGCGACGTGAGGCCCATGTCTGGGCCAACTTAAAAGACGACCATGTCCTCTCGCTTCATGGAATTACGAATGATTTTGGAGTCTTGCCAGCTTTTGTTTCGTCGTGGATGACAAAAGGGTCTCTCGAAAGTTACCTGAAAGAACCAATCTCGCTTTCGACATCCCAGAAGCTGGATATGGTAAGTGCATCAGTGTCTGAAACACCGCCTGAATCTCAAGCAGAACAGTCACATCAGATAGCATCTGGTCTCAAGTATCGTGCGTAATTTCTATTTTTTCATGCATGATGCAGATTGAAATGGCCCATTAGTGCATGAATGTGGCATTGTTCATGGCGATTTGACACCGGTAGGATTCTCATCGTTTACAGAACTATACGCTTGAGAGATGACGATATCATAAATTCAGGCCAACGTACTCATCAATAGCGACGACAAACTTTGCCTCGCAGACTTCGGTCTCTCGATGATCCTCGTAGAATCTGGAAATCCCACATTCAACTCCTGCCACGCGGGTAACGTGCGTTGGATGGCCCCCGAAATGGTTGAGGAGCAGGCAAAGCCAACAATGCCCGCAGACATATATTCTTACGGTTGCATCATGCTTCAGGTAAGTATCTTTCATTCGTCGCGATTGGTGCGTGTCTGACACTCCGAAGCTACTTTGTGGTGAACAACCGTATATCTGGAAAATACAGGCGATTCACGTGATGGCGGCCATAGTGAGAGGAGGAAAGCCGTTCAAATTTGACCAGCTCACCGGTATTGATCAAGGCCAGAAGCAGTATTGGCTGGAATGTCTGTCCACCGATTCCGGTGCTCGACCTAAAGTTCAGGAAATCATAGCGTTCATAGAAGCCGAGCGGCAGAAACTTTGATTATAATCCACATACTCCATGCAGCTGCTATCAATACTTTGTTCGTATCGATCCACGACCTCGCAACCCCCTTCGATCACCTTTGTACCCATTACCCTGCTTTAGAGTTTATTTTCGGAGCTCGTCTTCCTAAAAACGCGCGCCTGTCAAGCGTGACCCTTAGCCCCATTCACCGGGTATAAAAAGACAGGTTGATAGCGCACCTCATTTTGTTTGCGCAAATGCAATTACAGAGATGACCATCAGTCGTTAGGCCTCTTCGACAGCTAATGTTATCAACCGTGCCTGAACGAATACTCAGTGTTATCATGCAAACGAACGCTTACTGATCGATGGCACAAACTGCGTGGGATGCTGATATCGGCGCAGTACATCTGAACTTATCCGCAGACTTGAACGAGCAGCATCTCGGTAGTACTTCGAGCTAGGTAGACTCACGGGTGCACTGTTGAGTGAGACGACGGCGCACGTTAACTTTGAAAAATACCAGTGAGGTCTTTTAGTAGTGAATTGACACATTGCGTGGCGATAAACAAAAGTGTTGCCCCATGAGTAAACATATATGCTTGAAGTTCTTGCGCCCAATCATTCAAAATTCCGGTGAGAGCGATACATGTGGACTCAGTAAGCGTAGTATCTGAAAGTCGGTGCCGTTTGAACTTTGCACAATTGAGACAAGATCATCGCCCAGAAAAGTTGGCTTATATCAGCTGTGAAATTGTAAATTCTCTCCTGATCGGAATCTGATTTTGATTTTCGTACCTAATGCAGTATCTCAACGAGTGACTCTGAGACATGCCATGATAGCGTCCAGAGAATCTAGAAAGTCCACTATTAATGTCTGTTACCATCCTGGCATTGGTGCCGTGCTGATTGGGCTAGATTCACAAAGTTTGCTCACGGAGTCATCTGGTCCTTGGCCACGACTCACCTAGCACGAGCAGTGACTACACTGGTACCCGTTTACACTCTACCGGGTGTCGCCAATCCACACACCGAAGGCAGACCAGTGACTGGCACACCTGTCATGGAACTCCAAACACTGAGATACCTACCATGCCTGTCAACATATTAAAAATGAACATTTCATCCGTATGGTCCTTAGCAAGACCATCGTTTGTCCTGACCCGATGGCCCATACCTAAATACGTTTTTTCTGGGTCGCAGAAAAAGATGTAGAATACCCTCACCCTCTATGACGTACGGAAGAATGAGCTCGATCAGAATCGCCTGGAGCAGATGTAGTAGACTTGATGGTACGTCCCTTGTCATGAGAATGTTTTCTATCTTCACAATTGCTTGTATCTAGCATCTATTGCCTACTTTTCCCATCCAGCCTCAACTTATTCAGGCGCTACCTTGTCTTGTCCACAGCTTATCTATGTTTCACGATGCTGTCAATGACTCGATACGTCCGCGTTATTTCCTGTCATCTTAGTTTTCTGTCCGTGATCTTCCCCTTCGTCGAGACAATAATACAATGCTGCGATGGCCTCCTGAATGATTTCTCTGTTCTAAATCTACCAGTCTCCCAGAGTTTCATGTACGTGAATTACTCCCGCAGCCAGCATGCTGTCCCGACGAGTATCAATAATGTTGTCAAACCCGTCCGCCTCAGCACTGAAACATACCAAGCCAGTCCTCGAATTCTCATGATTGGAGATAAGAATGAAGAGCGATTTTTCGACGAGCGCAAGCCTGAGTCTAAATAGTACAAAACAGAACGCGATATGATGAGATGCGTGTTAAAACTCTATACAGTCTGCAGCGTTCAGCAGGTGAAGCTGACGTGTCGAGTGTAGTACATAACACGGGGAAGAGCATCGAAAATAAAGAAACATCACAGTCCGCACCGCTCGATAGTTGAAGCTGGCGTGCTTGGTATCGTACACAGCGGGAGCGCATAGTGTGGGTAAACCGCAGAAAGAAGTGGTAAACTTGGCTCGAGAATCATCTACTTATTTGCTGCCAAGTCCTTTGCTATGGGCAGATGTTTAACTTCGAGTTCGCGACGAAGCGAGGGACGTACACATGCGATTTTCGAGTATGAACTCGAAAATATTCTTCTCTAGTTCCTCTCCCCGATAGCCTTGACGAGAAATCTCTTTCGCTCCTTTCTCCACAGCGACTGCCGTCGGAGATTTCAAGTAATAGTCCACGGCAGACTTGATGCTCTCCCGCTTGTTCCCGCCATTGATCGGCAAAAAGGCAGAGTACTCAAGGACGATAATAGTAGCTGCTTCCTATTATGAGTACTACAACTTGTCATGCAGTGGGAAACTAACCAATACCAGTATGAAGGATTCCGTTTGCAGCAGCAAACGATGATCCCTTCGCAACCTGTTGCACAGCCATACAGCGCCGAAGATCAATGCGAAGAAAAACCAACCTACCAAAGGCTGAAGGATACGGACAATGTGAAGTACATTTGTGCCGGCCTGGTCACAGGTTTGGGTATCAGAATCAACCTCACAGAGAGAAGTACTTGCCTTCTGCAGGAAAGGAAAATCAGAACCAGGAGGTAATAAATTGACATTTGGTTAATAAGAGAGACGCACATTCTATTTCATTAACCGTGACAGTTGCCAATAATCAACCACCAGATTGTAGACAATGACAGGTGTGTACGGGGAACTTACAAACTGTCAAGAGTTGGAACCAGATGAGCACCACTACGTAACGGTGGAAATATGCAATCCATAGACGTACAAGCTGAATAAGATTGCTTATCAGTAGAGTAATATAGGATCCAGACGGGACATGATTCACACACATTCTGCGAACACATCATGGATACAAGAGATTATATGGCTAGAATCCTTGAGCGATTGAAACCTACTCACATCCTACGGAGTGAAAAAACAGTCAAAATGATCAATACATTGAATGCTTCGCAGGAGGAAGGTAAAACGACTCACATTCTGTGTGGGGCAAGAGAATATGCAAGATATGTGAGTATAGAACATAAGCCATCAGGGAGGGGCACTCAACGAACTATGCATTATATGAGCAATCATGATTCAAATTGGGTGATAGAATAGAAGATGCTCACATCAG